GACCTCTGTATAAGAAAAACATCATATTTTTTATGAGCAATGACGCACAACGCATCATATGATCAGCTCAACAAATTATCGGGTCTCATTCCTCAGCAGTCAAAGATGATCCTGGATGTTGTGAAATCTCTGTAGCAGAGGTCTCCTGGTCAACCACAATGTCCAGGAATGAGTGAGTGTGCGTCATGACCTTTTGCTGTACATTACAGTATCACCAAGTGAATTACGTCATTTTCCTCTGAGCAGGACGGCGAAGAATGAACATGTCTAATACCGAGCAGGCCTTCAAAGAACTCTTTCCATTTTTCCCCTGGTTTTGTATTCTATTCTAATAAAGCCTGATTACATGAAAGCGATCGATCCAACTGTGGAAAAACACCTGATTGGCATTTGGTTTTTGCTTCGAAGAATTGCTTATAATTCGCTGGACTTTTGGTTGGAAACATGGTTTAAAAGATTCTCCACTTTACCAGTTACATGCAATAAACATTCTAATTATGTCAAAACCAGATCTCGTGTTCGTTTCAGGGGCCGAAGTTGGGTTGATGACAAACAGCTGATTGGCTCAGAGGATGATAGTTGGACAAACTGCCGTGACATTTCTTAATGCCAGTCATGGTCCGCAGGGTATGAATCCTAATGACTTTGATGACTGTTTGACTTTTCCTCTAACACCAGAATTAAGCTGATGTATTTTGTGTTTATTTAGATTTGTCTCACAGCGGTTGGATGGATTCAGTGTCCTTAGATGCTGAATCTTTGTGAGACTGTTGATCGCTGCATCTTTAGAGCAAAAGACAAAGTCAGGTGATGATATAAAGCGACAACTTCCACACAGGGAAGAGGTCGGGGCGGATAAACGGGTCATCAAAATGATGTTTTTAACACGGGAAGCCACTGTTCTCTTCTCTTTTATAGCTCACAATTGGTGTTCCACATCCTCTCCATGACCTTTTCGTAGCCATAACAACAACAACACTCCCCCAACCTTTACTTATTTCATCCCAAACCATGATCTCTCCCTAAAGCTAACCGAGTCATATCTGTGCCTAAGTCTAACAACTATAATCATAATGTGGTCACATCATAAAACTGATTTATTTTAATTTGTTTTTAGCGTAGTTGTAGCCGACACAGACAAACAATGTATTTTGACTTGTTGGTCCGATGAAAGCAGCTCACCAAGGTTTCACCTCCCTGAAGTTTTTAAGTTATTAACTCTGTTATTAACTATCAAGTGGACAATTTTGTGTTCCTTTCAGTAAGTATTACAGGTGTTACTGGTTTCATTTAAAGGCTCTTGTTTGTTTTTTTCCTACTCAGCATTTTCCTAGAAGTCATCTGGTCCCACAGTTATTCTTGTTTTGGAAACATTTTGGTGATGACATGAGTTCGTCCATATTTATTTTATTAGTTTGCATTCATCCGACATAATATTACGCATAATTCCAATTTCAGTTAGATTGTTAAATTAGATTGTAGTTGTTTGCTCATGCTGTCAAATTAATATACATTTTTAAGTGTCTATTTATTTATTTATGCTTCTTTTTTTATAGAGATGGAATAGAAACCACAAATCGAACAGAATGGTGCTAAACCATGCTGAATAAGATATAGATGTACAATCTTTATTTATATATTTATTTTTGAACCTATAGCTTGACCTTTGCTTATTTAATAACAAATATTGTGTTTTGCAGATAGTTTTTTATTTTTATTTTTGGGGGGTCTTAAATGCTGACAGTTTATGCATTTTTAGTGTAATGTTGGACACACCGCTGTAAAAAGTGTAAAAAAAAATCTATTTTAAAACCTACTTGTTTAGTAAATCATGTTCTCTTTTCTGTTTTTCTTTTTTAAAACTGGGACAGTAGGCTCACGTGAGAGAAGCTGCGTTTCTAAATGGCTTAATGGTCAAATTTCCTACAGTCACTGAACATATCATCCAGTGTATGTGAAGTACGTGCGCGGCTACTGGCGTGTGTGTGTGTGTGTGTGTGTGTGTGAAGTGACTGCAGTCCTGTGTATATTGAAGCATTCATAAATCTGCGTCCAGCCAATCAGGAGGCTCCTGTTAATCCCAGTTTGGTAAAAACCCGCTGCGCGCTGCGAGCTGCGCTAATCTGACCAGAGACGCACAGACGCTCACTGCAGGGCTGGAAGTTTTTATTTCTGTGTGTGGAGATGTCCGATATTCTAGCAAACTTTCTCACCACTTTATGCCGTTTTGGAGCTTTCTGAAAGTCGAGAAAGACGCACCGGGTGTTTTTCCTTTTTCACTTCAGCCATCCCGTCACCAGCGGCTCTTCCACCGGACGAAGGATTGCTTTAAAACTGAACTGCAGTTTTTTTTTATTTTCCCTTCGCACAGCCACAGCTCAGCTCACTCTCTGGACATCCCGTTGACTCCGGTCGTCATGTCCTCCGGTGACAGCTCGGAGCAGAGCCGGCGGGTCAGCGTGCTGTCTTGGGATCAGGTGCGGCGTTTGGACTCCATCCTGGGGGAGAGCGTACCGATCCACGGCCGCGGAAACTTCCCCACGCTGTCCGTGCAGCCCCGGCAGATCGTTCAGGTGAGACACTTAGACTTCCTACTTCAGAATAAACATGCACACGAGCCACATAAAGACAAAAAGGAAAATGTTCCTATAATAATGCATTAAAAGGAAACAGCTCAACTCTCACATGTTAATAAAGTTGGCAGCAAAGGAAATCAAATCATTTTTTTTGTGTGTCACAACCCAACACACACTGACAGCACAACACTCCACTTATTTCCCTCTTGATAAGTTATGAAACAGGAAAAAGCTTCAAGATAATATATAATGTGTTTCATAATCAGCTGGTTGCAGAAGATGTGCAGAAACTCTCAAAGAAAACTCCAACAAGTTTGCAGAATAATATTTTAATACTTTAATATAAAGAAATGGACACTTTAGTGGATGTCAAACTTAAAAATATTTTCACTTCTTACTCTGAAAGTGCTTCCTGAATCCTAAACAGCTTTTTTTTCTCCCCCCCCAAGCTTCCACTGCTTCTGTATTTAATGCAGCAGTGAGGGTTTGTGGCAGAGCTGATTACACTCAAAAATGTATTTGATCACTCTTTAACGCAGACACACGACTGGGGATGATCTAACACTGTGACTGCACTTTTCCACTAGCTCACTAATGCTTCTGCTCCCGAAGAAGTCAGGGTTTTTTTTTTTTTTTCACAGCTCTTGAGAGATAATGACCGCGCTACGGTGCATTTTACTAGGAAGGAAATGTATATGGAATGGCGTGGGCTGCAGTTTTTCCTGGACATTATTTGAATGCCTGTAATCACTCGAGTGATTCATATTTTCTGCGGTGATCATATGTGGGGGAAGAAAGACCCCCACACACACACACTCACAGTGTTTCCTCTATAATCAGGGAGGCCCCTTACCATCTGCTGTGAGCATCCCCCTGCTAATGTCTTTCCTTCATTATACAGTCCTGGAGGCAACAGGGACCCCCAAACGTTTTTCTTTCCGTGAGCCAGAGCTCTTTTTTTTTTATGGAGGACCAGTTTATGGAAAATCTGCCCACTGCTTACCCAGAGTCTTCCCTTGTTTGAGTGCTAACATGTTAGCATCCTGGATGTACCCAAGATAAACATTTTAGAGTTGTTTTTTTACATATAATCTGGAGTTTCTCAGTTTATTTAAAATAGCTATCCAAAATAAACTACGCTTTTTTCGATGTCACATACTAAAAACTTGATATTCAAACTTCCCCTCAGCATAAAGCACCTGTAAGATTAATTCCAACAAGTCCCCATGCAGCAACAACACCACTGCGACTAAAATCAATTCAGATTCCACGTCTCCTGTCACGGAAAACGTCAGGCAGGTTTCAAATCTCAGCAAGTTGATTTTCATACCATATGGACCCAAATGGAAACTAATGTCTGCCCGGATGGAGGGAAAATTAGAGATCTAAACCACGATGATATGTTTTGGAAAACGGTTGACAGTAATGTGAGGTGTTCGTGATTCACGGCAAATGGGCTAAAACATGCAAAACCGCCAGTCTGCCGCTTGAATGTCGTTTATTTTTAGCCCACGCACCAGACAGGAGACGTCCACCTGAGACAGATAGAAGAGAGGGGGGGGATTTCGGAGCCGGTTCTGTCGTCACATACCGGGCCCGGTGACCGACGGATCGCGCTCCCGGAGAGTCACACGAGCCCCTTTGAATGCTGGGTTTGTCTGAGGGCCACATTTGAATAACATCTGTTTGTGGTCTGGTTGCGAGGGAGCCATGGGAGCAGCGAAGGAAAGCTTTTACTGTTACTGACACCTCTGTACTCTCGTTTTCATTTAATGTCGGCAGTCATCAGCCCACAGCCGCAATCCGGGATGGCTGCTCATGTTCCCCCCTCCCCTCAGCAGGCGATACCAGCAGAGGCCCCACGTAGCAGCATAATGATAAACACAGATACGTGATGAGTGGTGTCAGGGGTTACGTAATCTGTTGAGTGGGTTCGTGTGTGTAGGTGGAGATATGGAGTTTTATGTTTTTTGTCATCTGGAAGTAACACTTTCCTGGATGGTAGCGAGCGGCCTGGATTCCAAGCAGAATGCGAGCAGTGGATTTGTGCCTGTAATAACAGTGGGCCTGTGGGTCGGGCCTGACAGCGTACCACTGTGGTAAGCAGAGAGCAGTCGTCTGACTCCGCTGTGGCCTTCGCCAGACTGTAAACCAACTCCTCACTGGGCTATTGTTGGGGCCGAGCAACATGAAGACACCACTGCTCCCAGTGCTCTGTGGAGCAGGTAACCTGGGAACATTCATTTCTTGACCAAATGTTTTATCAGTGCTGATGCTATCTCTTTGGTTGAATTTTCTGATGATGAAGTTGGAGTTTCCATTGGCTACTTATGAGAACACCAAAGTCTTTACAATCTTTGGTGTTTAATACTTAAGTGGCATTTTTTAATTAATAACCAATACATGAAAAAAACACATCTATATCAATAAAAAACCAGTATCCCCCCCTTTAAACATCATTTGGACCTTTCTTGTGGGCAAAAAGTAGAATTAAAGGTATAGTCTGTGACTTGGGCAACATATTGTCTAGTTTTTACTAGTTTTTATATTTAGATATTTAACATGTGCTTGCTTTATTGTGCGAATCAGCGTGAATATCCAAGCACTGAAATAGTATTGTGTGGATCAGTCACTTTGGTTTCCATTTACAGAGCCAGGACTGTGTACAAATAGAGGATATTCACTAAGTTTGACAAGAACTGCATTGAATTAGAACGACTTACCCCACCTTTAAACTGCTAAAACGAATAAATTAGAACAATCCAAATAACTAAAAGGAAGTTAAATGGGTCATTGCATTACAGCAACAGTACATCTAAAAGTTTAAATAGCCATAAACGGCCATTTTTTATACCTAAATTAGTTCAGTTTAATGTCAGTGCTTCAAATGTGGACTATATATTGCGTGTATGTGAGCTATCGTACTTGTGGGTTCACGTCGGAGCACCAAGCAGGAGTTGGAAGCCGGGGAACAGTTTGGTTTTTACTACTAAATTAAAAGACCCTATCACAGCTAGAGTTGTTCCCACCAGTTTTATCTTACATGGCTGGCTCAGAAAACTAATACAACAACAACAGAAAAAAAAAACACATCTCCTCAAATGGATCCCTTGGATATAATCCTATCAAATAAAGTTTGAGTGGCTGGAGACATTAAAACTTGTGTGAATCCTTAAAGCAGTTTAACAAATCCTTCATTGAACCCGTTTATCACGTCGAGGAGCATCACGTTTCAGCCTCAGACTCGCTCACAGGTGAACGGACCACCCGTGCATAGGAAATTCAAGGAAGCTTTTCAAATCAGAGGAAAAACCATCATCATCATCCCCCGCTGCCTGCCAAGCTACTGTACGACTGACTGGCTGGGTTAGTTTTGGAGTGGAGGTGAAGGTCAGGGACTCGTAACTCCACATTCGCTGTCGCCATTTGCTTGGCAGAGAGATGATCTGACTCACTGCCCGGAGCTCTCATTGGCGTCCAGGGGACTATGGGCTGGTAAATGGTTGGGTCATTTCAAACTGCCGTAATAAAAGCACACTCAGGCCGCAGCTTAAATGAAATACTCAAGGAAACTATTGAGACTGCAGAAGGAAAGTGGAGAGACTGTTATGTGTCGCCAAGGCGTTGTCAACACCAGACAGTCTGGTGTGTTTGCGGCTCTTTTTACAAGGCTTTTTTTTTTTTTTTTTTTTTGTGCTCCAACGTCGGCGGAAGTGTCTCCCCTTTGCTCAGTTCACCAGGTGCTGGTGCGTCATGTGGGAAATGTACTAACCCGTTTTATGAGCGCTGAAGGACGGAGATGATGGGGGCGGCGGAGCTGTGCTTCCTCATATGCTCCTCTCGGGACCCTCAGACCGGCACATTGTGGCGTGCTTTTAACTCGGACCAAATGTTTAAGTGTGAGGTCAGAACAAATACTGCTGTGGGTTTCCCTCGCTGAATAGTTTAAAAACTTCTCTGCAGTGTTGTCCAGTGCCTTGTGAAGCCATGTGTAGCTTCACTGTGCAAAGCAGCTGACCTTCTCTTGTTAGATTTTGGAGTTCCTTAACTAAGCTTGGGTAAATAGCAAAGTATAAATAACTTACTGTTCTTGTAGTGATGTTCTCTGTTAGGGACTCACTCCTGGTTTAGGTGACAGAAAACTAGCAAATAAACTTTGTGGCAGAACTCACTGTCTCCCCCATATCCACATTTCCATTTGTGTACAAAATAAATAAAGCACAATGTGTTAATGTGAGTTTTCAAGATCTAGGTAGGTATCTTTATTGATGTATTTATTCACTAGGGAGAGAGCTAGACTATACCCACAAGCTGCCTACTTGCAATATAGATAATTTACTGTTCTTGAAGTGTTATTGTCTCATTGAGGGAGTCATTTAGGGTTTAGGTGACCAAAACCCAGCAGATGACCTGTTTGTGGTGGAACATGTTTGCTTTTAGTCCGTTTAAAGGAATAGTTTAGCATATTTGTAAACACATTTGCAAAAAGGTTCCACGTATAACTAATCCTAAATTCAAGCATCTGTTTCTTTGTGAGAAAACAATATGTAAAAGTGTGTAAAAGTGTGAGTTTTGTAAATCTCTTCAGGTGTATTTATTATTTATGGAGAAAGCGAGGCTAGCTGGGCTGTGTCCATGTTTAGTTGGGCTAAAAACACCAGCCTTCAGCTTCTTATTTACTTAAATCCGTCTTTTTGATGCCATTTATGAAAAGAAACCAAGTAATTTATATTGGAAATATTTTTCCAGTCAATTATCGAGCATATAACTTCTATAACAGCACACAACTGACCCTAAATATACATTTCTGTTTGTGTGAAGAATAAACAAAATAAAAACTGTTGGATGTTTTTTGTGCTTTGTAACCTGTGGCTTTAAAGCAAGATATTAGCATTTTTTTTCAATATATTAAAAAAAAAAAAGGTTCCCAACATAACAAATCCTAAATTCACACATCTGCTTGTGTGTTGGAAAACAACATACAATTCTCCAAAGGGAGTTTTACAAACTTCTTGAGGTATATTTATTTGCTGTCTCCATGTTTAACTCGGCTAAACACACCAGCCTCCAGCTTCTTACTTGATTTCTTTCTGTTGCCATTTATGAAAAGAAACCCTGTTCGTCTTATTGGAAATCGATTATCAATAAAGCTCCAACACATAACTGACCCTGAATTACAGTATAAAGAAAGTACTGCAGGCTATATCAATTTGAGGTTAGGAGGCTTTGTAAGATGTATTTATTCACATTGGAGGGATCTTTGCCGGCTGTTTGTGTAGTTTGCGCGGTCATTAAAAGAAATAGTTTAAAGTGCTTTTACATTAAATAACTTGCTTTTTTAGAACTGAATCCAAAAAATGAAATGCTAAAAAGCGAAACATGCAAGAAAAGTTATGTGATATATATATTTTATTCAATAAACAAATGCTCCTATGTTTGTATCTCAAATGATCAAATTAGATCCTTTACAGCTGTGAAGTAGGACAGCGCCATTAAAAGTGATAGACTGTGTTTGCAGATTAACCCTTGCATGTCTCTCAGTATTCTGGCAGGATCACTGAGCTGGACAGACGTCTCTCCACACCGACAGATAGCTGGTGCTTGCAGAACAACAACAGTGGCGTGACTCAGTGAGAGTTTTCTAAAAAAGACAGCTGTGTTTGGGATTTCTTCAAATTTGGCCTAGTTAGCTGTTTTTCTCCCCTCGGTGTCATTTGAGTGATGCAACAGATAGGACACATAAACATCTCAGCTGTCCGTAGGTCATGCGTGGTGTGTGTTCCAATCGCCAGATAAAAACTTGCCAACCGGTGTTTATATGACAGCAAAGAGATTATATTTTCTCAATATGGTCATCAGGCGTAAGTTGAAAAGTTCAACGCTGAAGTTTTGTTTTTTTTATGATCGCTCAGAACAGTCGAGCACTAACATGTAATTTTCCACAGCTCGTCTCTGTAGTGCTGCTGTGTATTTTGTACTTCACGTATGATGAAACGAGTCTGCCAAATCAGGTATTCCCTTCATACGATGCGTGCTTTACAGTATGTAGGGCATTTTCATCCTCAGGCAACAGATTAGGGTTGATGACACCATCCTTTTAAGTGCAGTATCACACCCTCTAAGCAGCCACTTTGTCGAGAGCGTTCTTTTACCAGCGCACATGAACTCATAAAGGTTACGGCAAACTTTTTCAGACTGTAATTTCCATTTTTCTGCCGTCAAACTGAACTAGACGTCCAGGAAAATGTTCGAGAGTTGAAGGCATAAAATGAGAAGTGCGTTCATGCCTTATCGTGCATTCCACATATTGCGTTTCATCGTCATACTATGTTACATAAAAATAACAGCGCCTCAGATTCTTTTCATGTAAAGCAATGAGCCGACAGCAGCTCCCTGTCTGCATGTAAAAACTTGTGTTTTCCGTGTCGCCCTCTTCTGATTTTTATCTTGTGGATCCCCATCACTCAGCTTTTTCTCCCGTCTCGTTATCTTTCAGGTGGTCAGGGCTCGACTGGAGGAGCGGGGCGTGGTGGTACGTGATGTGAAGCTCAACGGCTCGGCGGCCAGCCACGTCCTTCACCAGGACAACGGCCTTGGCTACAAAGACCTGGACCTGATCTTTGGACTGAGTCTGACCGATGACAAAACCTTCCGACTGGTGAAGGACGTGGTGCTGGACTGCCTGGTGGACTTCTTGCCTGAAGGGGTGTGCAGGGAGCGAATCACGGCCCTCGCCCTGAAGGAGGCGTACGTGCAGAAACTGGTGAAAGTCTGCAACGACACGGACCGCTGGAGCCTCATCTCGCTGTCCAACAACACCGGCAAGAACGTTGAACTGAAGTTTGTGGACTCCCTGAGACGGCAGTTCGAGTTCAGCGTCGACTCCTTCCAGATCACTCTGGACTCGCTGCTGCTCTTCGATCGCTGCTCGGAGACGGCCATGTCCGAGACGTTTCACCCAACGGTGCAGGGGGAGAGCATGTATGGAGACTTTGAGGAAGCACTGGGTCACCTTCGCTCCAAGACCATCGCCACCCGCAGCCCAGAAGAGATCCGGGGCGGCGGCTTGCTCAAGTACTGCCACCTGCTGGTGCGTGGCTTCCGGCCGGCCTCCGAGGCGCAGATGAAGCAGATGCAGCGCTACATGTGCTCGCGCTTCTTCATCGACTTCCCCGACATAAGCGAGCAGCAGAGGAAACTGGAGACGTATCTGCAGAACCACTTTGCAGGCATGGAGCACAAGCGCTATGACTACCTGGTGACGTTGAGGCGAGTGGTGGATGAAAGCACTGTGTGTCTGATGGGCCACGAGCGCCGCCAGACGCTGGCACTTATTTCTGCCCTGGCGCTGCGCGTGATGGCCGAACAGAACGCTATCCCCGCTTTGGCCAACATCACCTGCTACTACCAGCCCGCTCCCTATGTCAGAGACGTCAACTTCAGCAATTACTATGTGGCACAAGTTCAGTCACCCATGGCGGCGTGCAGTAACTCTTATCAAACGTGGCTGCCTTGCAGCTGAGTAGTGACTTTACAGACGTGTGGAGAGCTTTCTGTTGTAACTTAACATTGATGTTAGTTGAGCATTCGTTACCTGTAATGTCCACAGCGAGCAACAGCGTCGTGTTCTGGCTCCATCTTAGTTGCAGGAAACAATCTGCTGCCCTTCTACCCAGCGTGAGCGTGTCCACTGAGTTTGAGAGCTCTTCCCAGCTCCGATATCCTTTTGGCTCTGGTCTGTTTTTGCTGGACCGACTAGCATTCTGAAGCATGAAATACTCTCATGAATGTATAAGAAGCCTGTATTAAGTAAATATCGTGCACCATTTCATTTGTTATTGACTTAACACATTTTTTTCTTGTTTGTAATGACTGTAAGAGAGACAAATAGAAAAACAAAAAATACGAGAAGGGAGACAGCATCATTCTGTTTTGTCCTGCATTCTCTGATCAATTCGTTACACGGTCGCTCTCGTTTACATTTTTTATGTTTCCGTTCAATGCCCACAGCTGTGCAGTGAAATCTGTGATATTTACGTCTAAATTGAGCGATGACAGAAAAAGCTGAAAGGGTTGTCATGATAAAGTACAGCCAAACAACTTCTAAACCAGCTGCAAATGTGTGTTTAATATGCTGTTAAAAACATTTTTTTTAAAAATCCGAGAAGCAACTCAGCTCAGCCGGAAAGCAGCTGGAGCTCAGTCGGAATGAGACGTATCCGGATCATGGACATATGGTGTCAGAATGCTCCGTTTGTCTGTAGCAATGTGGCTTTTTTTTGTTTTCTTGCCCTTTGTGGATAAAAAATGAATTCATCTTTGTTTTTTTTTTGCCAAATCTCATATGAAAACCGTTCCACTAAGTTATATTGATTAATACTGCTGTAAAAAAACAAAAAACAAAAAAAACAATCTCATTCGAGCCATTATAACTATACCTTTTTATTCTGTTGTTGTTTCATAACCGATGTGGACATGTATGAAAAAATATGAAGGCTTAGTGTATGACAGAGGAACTTTGTCAGTTCTGTTTCTTGTCTGATGGAGGCTTGTATTGGGTCTTTAATGAAATGTAAATACTTGGTACAAAACCAGAAAGCTGTTTTTTTTTTTTGTTGCTGTTGTTCTGTCTGTGGTTTCAGCTGACCTGATTAGGAGGGAAAAAAGGACCAAAGAAATACTTTTTTGTGTGTAGCATGACAAACAAAGACTGTATGTTGTTCCAAGTGCCTGAATATGACCGACATCTTTATAGTAGTTGCTATGTAAGAACTGTTTTTTGAATCTTTTTCATCCAGGTTACTGTACATTTCTATATCCAGGGTCAGGGTATTTGTTTTTAAATCATTAAAAGAAAAAAAAAAATGTCAACAACTGAAAGATGGTGGTACATTGGTCTTTCTTTACACACTCTGGGATGTAAGATAAGGACAATCTGTTCTAATATGCTCCAGTTCACATAAATTAGTCTGGGGATGTGCGTAATGAATGCATGCTTTATCTCCATTCTCTGTATCTCACTGTCTCGGTTTAAATATCTCCCTCTGTCTATCTTTTGCTATCTTCCTCCATCACACACACAAACTGCCTTGTGTGTTGTCTGTGCTCCGTCAGCCAGACACCGACTGGCCCAACACAAACACTCACTTGTTCCAGCTCTGTGCATTTTCCGCCCCTTTAGAAACGGAGTCCCCTGAGCCTGAGCCTGTACATTAGCTATTTCCTTCCAGTTGTGCATCCGACGAGGGCCTTATTCGGAGAGAGGGGAGGGGAGCTCGCCGTTGCTTGTCTTGGATAGACTGAGCTCTAAAGGGGGCAGCTGAGGACCAGGTGGTGAAACGGAACCGCTGACTTTTCAGCAAATGTAATGATGCATTCCAGCACTTGGCTTCTCGCGTGATCAAAACAGTCCAGTATTTTATCCTCACTTAGAGCAACATTTCTCCCACTATGGCACTTTATCCTAATTACTTTTGCATTGGGGAGGACTTCTTGAGATTTAGTAGAGCATGAAATGGCATGTAGCTGGGAGACACCTGCTTACAATTGCTTTCTAATGGAGACACAAAGTACTTGGCCGTGGAGGAAGTGCTGGAGCACTTTAGTGAAGCACTCACTGATTTCTTCAATAAAAGTTAATGTGGAAAAAAAAAAAAGCGTCTGTCAGAGTGATTAAAGGGCCAAGATATAAAAGTGACAAGGGAAATCTCCCTCCCTGGATTAGCTGTCAGACTTGTCTCCCAACTGTTACAGAAACACTCAAGGAAGCATGGGACACCCCTAGAGGGTTCCATTGGGATAAATAAGCATTAAGCTTACAACTGAGACAGAGCTTGTCTTAACTTTAACAAACCAGCGATTCCTGTGCCTGGTGGCCAGACCTCAGGAGTCATTTCGAGCTGGGAGGAAGCGCTCTGTGAATGTCTCGTATTAATTAACAACCTGCAGCAAGCATGTAGATGTGCTGAAGGTTAATTTACTGGCAGCTATGGCTCTATTAATGACAGAGATAGCTTGTCGGTCCGTCGGCCGGATGGATTGCCATGAAATTTCACACAGACGCTCGTGGTCCCTGCAGGTTCAGTCTTGCAGATTTTGATGGTCCTGTAAAAATGTTGTAAACACATTCACGTCCCTCTCAGTCTTTATTGTTACAGGTGATCCCCTCGCTTTCCATTTCGCACCATTATAAGGTCAGAAAAACAATGACAGTGTCCTTAAGGAGAATCACAATCAAACTCTGAGTGTTCAGCTTATTAAATTTAAAGAAATCCTAGATTACCTGGCTGCCTATGATCAGGGATATTAATAAAGATACTTCAGATTAAAAGTTTACTCTTCATTTTTGTTTCCCAGTGATGTATTGTGTAATCTTAGCTATCAGTGCAAAGTGCTGATTCTGTTCTGCACGGATTGTTTCAAAACTTGGGTCCACAGTGAAAATGTTCTCCAGGTTGACCATCTTTCATGAAGCATCGCAAAAACTGTTGGATTGCTTGCCATTCATTTTGGATCAGACATTCCTGTTCAAATGAGTAGAAGGCAGCATGCACATCAGTTGCTTGGAATCAAAACCCCCAGACATTTGATATATTAAATTCTTGAAATCACTGAACATCATATCACCTCTGATTTAATTTATTCCACCGGTCTACACCCCCTACAACTTTTTTGAGCTGATTTTGGACCATTGCAATGTGCTGGATCCAAATATTACATTGGTTTTGCTCAATGAGGTCAAAATTTTGAATTGATAAAACATGCAATTTACTTGTATTTACCTTTACAAATGTTTATGCTCATCAACTTTTGGATCATTTCCCTCATGAAAAGGATTAGAAAATTAAATCTGATTTCATATGAGAAATGCTAAAAAAAAAAAATCAATCGCTCATGTCAAAATAATGTAATTGATTTATTGGTAAAAATCGATTTTTGGCATAAAAACCTGACCTGATACAGAAAAGCAGACGTCATTTTGGATTCAGCATTGCAAAAATGTCCTAAACTAGTTAAAAAATCCTAGACACCTTCAAAAAAGTATTTTTTTGTAACCCAGTGTTGTTAGTGTATTTTATCTCATGGATATGCGTGTTTCAGAATGTATTTTTTTCAATATATCAGACATTCATGTTCCCTACAAGCTGATCTGTCACAACCCCGTCCTCTGACTGTCCAGAGCACCACCATAAGGTCAAAGTTTCAGTTCACTATCTATGCAAACACCATAAGATCTAATGTCATTTCCAACAGCTGCAGCTCTGCTTTTTGTAATTAAAACTTTTTACAGACTAGCATATGGCATGCTAATGTTAGCATTCAAGTCTAATGCGTCTTTGCCTCGGCTTCATTAAGTGTCTAGCGTGGCTATAGACACTTAGGGACCACATGCATTCATTCAAAGTGAACTGCAGTGAGGACTTTGGTATTAAACTGGTCTTTGAGTTTGCAATGAAAACAGATGTCTCAGAAATATCCATCTGATGCCATTTCAACAAGAGCAACAATAAATACTTACAGCAAATGTGCAGCCACAGTGGAATAATGCTTAAACTCTAAATAAATCACTAATTATTCCCTGCCCATGCGGCAGATGTGATTCTTTTAGTCCCTATGAAGCTTGTGAAGGCAGCAGGACATATTTGCTGCTAAACCTGTATTTCCTGATTTGTAAAGTGAAGTCGGAGCACATAGCCAGTGTGGACTGTCCAGTTTGTTTAGCTCACTGCAGGTTGTTCCATCTGGTGTTTAGGTGGGATGTGTCAGAATACAGTAGCTCATCTGGTCTGTGTGTCATTGCCTCTTTTCCAGCCTTCGTCTTCTCATGAAACAATACATTTTCCTGGTGAAGCCTCTTGTGATGAGACCAGTGATGTGACAGCTTCAGGGTGAATTTATTCATCCCGACACCCTCCAATCTATATTCAGCTCCAGGTAGCTCTTTGGTTCTTTGGGCTGCTTAAGCCAAAATAGCTGGGGTACTATGATAAAATCCATGTTCCAAGACATACCACTTGTCATGGTGTTTGCACAGTTAAAATAGGACCCTCTTGTTTTTTTGTTTTTTTTTACATAAAATATTACAAAAGGCTAATCTACTGTGGAATATTTCAAATGCTTTAAAGGCTTGTGGTTGTGCAGCAATAAAACAAACCTTGATGTAGGCTTTGTGCCAAGAAGGTTCATTTTTTTCTGTAACACTGGCCAACCACTTTCTCCAAGATTAGCTGCCTACGTTATCCACCTTAGATTTAAGGCCAGGTAGCCCCCATTGTGCTTTTCTTGGGTAAATACCACGGGTAGATCTGACGCCGTGGCTCATACTGTTCCCCTGCACCCACCAGTTCTCAGCAGCTTGGCCTTCTCACCCCCATTTTCTCCAGTCTACGTGGGTGGGCCCTTCTGGGTTGAACTCCCACCAGAGACATTGAAGCTTGAAAGGTCTCCTTATCATTTTTTCCCCCTCCCTTTCGTGTCACTCCACTGTGGAGAGCAATCTGTCTCACGACTTGTTGTTCGGAGATGCGGCGTGTTTTCAAGTTGGCTGATTAGATTATGGGAATGCCTTCTTCGTCGGTGACAGGCACCACCTGGGGAATGATGGGAAGAGTCAGGACGAGCGTGGAGCCCAGAGTGCTCTCCAGCGTAACACACTGTTGTCAACTCACAGCTCCCTATCTGGGTATACTGGCTGCCTGGGGAGGTTATAACAGAAAAACAAATCTGTCCTCAGATGAGATGCTACATGGGCGGCTGAATTTTCTCAAACACAGATGAATGTGGTGACCTTTAAAGAGGAAGTTAAAGAAATATTTATCATGGGAGGTGGGGTTAAGGGAAAATTAGAGAGGACGACATTTTATATCAAAGAAAGTGGTGAGAATTATGCTTTCCCAGATTCAGCTGTCGCCATCCAAATTAAGTTCCATAAAAAGTACCGCACGTACAAAGATCCACAATCGAGATATAATAAAAACAAATAAAATTCTTTTATTCAAGAATGATTGAATTGGACTGATACTAATTTCAGTCTTTACGGCTGAAGAATGAAGGAAGTGGTGCTGAAGTTTTTCTCATAAAGTGGTTTTACTGGACTGGGTGGCATTGCTCCATCCATCATCATGTCGTTAGCAAGCAATTCCCAGGATCTCACAGGATTTCTATTTGTAGAATCAGTGGATATTCGGAGCGGCTTCACCATGGTGATGTTTGTTTGTTGTCTTGAAATGCAAAGGGGTTGCCAGTGCCATATAGTGGGCTATAAAACTATGCATTCACCTTGGCTTTTTGGTGCATTTTACGATTCCACCAAATAGTATGGTACTATGGAATCAAAAGAGAGAATAAATTCATGACTTTTACATAAAAATATATAAATAAAAAATTCAGTAAGTAAAA